TTTGTTGCATGCCATAGGTTCTGATGAGTTGCGTGTTCATTTTCATACATGTTCAGGTATTTTTTCATTTCATCTGTAATTTCTTCATTGACCCAGTGGTTGTTCAGTAGTATGTTGTTTATTCACAAATTTGTTGTTTTCTCCTCTTTCATTTTGGTTGATTTCTAGTTTCATGCCCTTATAATCCAAAAAGATACTTGATAGGATTTTAACATTCATAAATATTGTTTTGTGTATCAACATATAATCTAGTGTTACTAACATTCCATTAGCATTTGAAAATGTGTATTCTGTTATTTTGGGGTGGAATATTCTATAAATATCTATTACCTGCATCTCATCTGTTTTTTCATTTAAGACCATTGTTTCCATGGTGATTTTTCTGTTTGTACAATCTATTGCTATAAGTTGGGTGTTAAAGTTCTCCACTATTAATTGTGTAGCCATCAATGTCTACCTACAGGCTGTTACTGTTTACTTTACATATTTTGCTGCTGCTAGAGTAGGTGCATATATATTGATAATTTTATTTCATCCTGTTGATTACTTTTTCATTATATAATGTCCATCTTTGTCTCTTGCTATTTATTCTGGGTGGAAGTCTATATTATCTGATGTAAGTATAGTGGTCCCTGCATTTTTAAATTTTCCATTGACTTGGAGTACCTATTTCCTTCCCTTTACTTTGAGAGCTTATCTTTATAGCTTGATTTTATCTTTATAGCTTGGATTTTGAGAGCTTATCTTTATAGCTTAGATTTTGAGTTCTTGGATATTAATAAGCAGCATATATTTGTGTTTTGCTTTTTAATCTGTGCAGCTACTCTATGCCTTTTGATTGACTTTAGTCCATTTATACTAGGTAGATGGTAGTTGAGGGTTTGCTACTACCATTTTTATTTTGTTTTCTGTTCCTATCCATTTCCTTAATTTCTTTTCCTCAATTTTTATATGAGAACTACTCTAACTTTTGTTGTAGGAGAGGTATTGGCAAATTCCTTTAAGCCTTTTTCTTGGGATGCCTTTATTTGTCTGGGAAGACCTTTTTTCCCCTCATACCAGATATTAAAAGAGAGTTGTACAGGATATAGTATTCTGGGTTTTAAAAAAATATTTATTTATTTACATTTTACATCATTGTTCATTTTTATACAATGTTTGCTTTCTTCTCTCACGTGTAGTCCCCACAGAATTCCCACCACCGACTCACCCGTGCCCCTGTGCCATAGTCCACTGTGCTCTTCCCTCCCATGTTCTGACCCCTCTCTTTCCCCTGCAGAATATCTCTGATTTATAGTTGCCTGCCAATTTTTTGTTATTTTTTCCCTGATTTCTTAATTGTTTCCTCTATATTCCACCTATAAGTGAAACCATCCTATATTTTTCTTTTTCCTCCTGACTTACTTCACTGAGCATAATTCCTTCTAGCTCCAACCACTGAATAGTATTCCATTGTGTATATGTACCACATCTTCTTGATCCAGTCATCTATTTTTGGGCATTTGGGTTGTTTCCCTATCTTACCTATTATAAATAGTGCTGCAATAAACATAGGGATGCAGGTATCCTTTTGAATTAATGTTTTTGTGTCCTTTGGGTAGATTCCTAGAAGTAGAATTGCTGAGTCATGTGGTAGCTCCATTTTTAGTAGTTTGAGGAAACTCCACACAGTTTTCCATAGTGGTTGGACCAGTGATGCTGTGGGTGGGTTGAAGGGCGCTCTCCCTGAAGAGCACCAAGTCTTTGTATGCTGCTGGTCTTTTACCCTGCACATGTGTCTTAATATACAATGCCTGATGTGGTCTATACATGCAGTAGGGGTTCACAGAGACTCTAACACTGTGTGTCGTCCAAATGGCACTCTCCCAAGTGGTTTCTGCTCCCCAAGAGGGCTTCCCGCTCCCTTGCCTTCCTGGCTTTATTTGCTGTTCTAGATGGGATACATGATTACATGGGGGTCACTGGTATCCCACAGCTGAGTGTTGGCCAGAGGACACTGTCCTGTATGTCTCTGTTCACCTTTGTTTACTGGGGCCTCCTTCTGCCTTTACTCAGTTCCAGGAAGGGTACTTGGGGGGTCTCTGGCCTCCAATAGCCTTACAAGCCAGCCCAAGCTTTCCTGGGACTGGCTGTTCACCTTTGTTTGCGAAGCCTTTCCTGTCTTTACTCGAGTGGTGCAGGGTCGCCTGCCTCTAACAAATTTGCAGGCAGGCCTAAAATTTCCTGGTAGTAGCTGCTCACCTTTGTTTGCAGAGCCCCCTCTACCTTCACTGGGCTCCAGATGGGAACTGGGGCTGCTTGGCTACCAATAGCCTTGCAGGCAGGCCGGTGATTTCCTGGGATTGGCTGTTCACAGTTGATTATGGTGCCCTCCCTCTGCCTTCACTCAACTCTGAAAGAGGAGCTGGGGTCACTGGCCTCCAACAGCTTTGCAGACAGGCCCACAATTTCCTAGGACTCTAAAGTAATCTGTTAATATAAATTTACAGTCATTTTATATATTTGTCCTTTAAATCCTAAAGAAAACAAAATGTGAAATTTTTAGCCAAAATTGTAATAATAATGGGCAAATAATAAAATCAACTACTTACCTTTACCAGAAGCGTTTATGTTTTTATGACTTCAGATAATTGTTTAGTCTCCTTTCATTTTACACTCTAGCTTTTTTTATAGGACAGATATATTGGTAATTACTCCCTCAGCTTTTGCTTATTTAGATATGTTTTATTTTTTCCTGTATTATTTGAAACACAGCCTCGCCAAACGTAGAATTTTCAGTTAGCAGTGCTTTTCCTTTAAGTAATTTCAATATGTCATCCCCCAGCCTTCTAGCATCTGCTGAGAAATTGATAATCTCACTAATCCTTCCTTGTACATGACTAATTGCATTTCTCTTGCTGCTTTCTAAGTCTTTCTTTTGACAGTTTGATTATATTGTATCTCATTGTTGGAGTAGTGTCTTTGACTTTGTTCTACTTAGCTTTCTTTGAGTTCTTGGATTTTTAAATCCATGTATCTATGTAATTTTAGAAGGTTTTAGTAATTTCTTCAAATAATCTCTCTGTCCTCCTTTTGGGATTCCTTAATCTGTATGTTGGTCCTCTTGAGGTTGTCTCTCAAGTCCCTTAGTCTATGTTCACTTCACTGCATTCTTTTTCCTTTCTGTTCCTCAGACTTAATAATTTCACTTGCCCTATCTGAAAGTTGCTGCTGCTTTCTTATTCCTGTTCAAATATGCAGTTGAACCCCTACAATGAATTTTTCATTTCAATTATACTTTTGATATCTGGGTTTTCTGTTAGGTATCTTTTTACTATTTCTATTCCTTTGCTAATACTACCATTTTAGTACTTAAATGTTTTCCTTATTTCCCCAAATTCTCTGTCTATGTCTTCCCTTAGTTCTGTGAACATGCTTAACACAGTTTTTAGAAGTCTTTGTGTAGTAAATCCAATGTCCTTGCTTCTTCAGGGATGGTTTCTGGCACTCTTATTTTCTTCCTCTGAATGAGTCATATTTTTCCTGTCTTTGCATACCCTGTTGCCTTTTGTTGAAAATCTGGGCATTTAAAAAATAGCTATCTCTCCTAGTTTTTGTAGACTGTTATTTTGCAATCCTTCCTTAAGTACTAAGCGTTCTCTGAGCTTTGGAGTCAACCTGAAGTGTAGACTGAAGGTGTTTTCAGGTGTTTCTGAGCATACATCTTGCTTGGGTCTAAGTTTAGATTTTCCCAAAGAGTTACAGCCCAGCTTCTCCTCTGAGCCTCAGACTATTGTATGTCTTTACCTATAATCTCTTGCTTGGGCATTTCTAGCTTTTAGTCTTCTTGCAGTCTTCCCCAAGCAATTCCTGCTTTTCACTGCCTGAATTCTAGGTGAAACAGACTAACTCTTCATTGTGCCCTCAAGCATGTTAGAACATTGTAAACAAGGCCTGTGTGCTCCTTGTGCTTGGAGGGAAGGAATTGAAAATTGTGCTGGCAGCTGCAGACCAAGACTGTGGTACCAAAGAGGACTTGGAAAAGGACAAGTGAAAAAAAACATGAAATCTACTATTTGGAATATAGTTCTTTCTCAGGCTTTTTCTTGATTGCTATCTACCTTTGTATATAGTCCATAATCTTGCTAAGATTATTTTATTAACTTTTTGGTTGTTTTTTGTTATCTCTATTGCAGAATGAGGGTGCAGAGTTTCTTAGCCTGCCATTTTGCTGACATAACTCCATGGCATGAGTCTAGGAAACATATTAGAACTTATCAAAATGGCCATTTTCTCTCCTAAAGAAGTGACTTTCAGAGAATTACTAAAAGGTTTGGGGGATTCTTTTCCTCTTCAGAGCTTGTGTCACAGTCTCATTTCTCTACAGTGTGGCAAATTCTCCTTTTATAATGAAGTCAGATGAAAAAATGAGTAAGGTGCTACAATTTTTGTTACAGATTTTTCAGTTGCCTAGATAAGACAGTTTCTACCATAGGCAAAGAAAGGATTCTGATGAGGTAGAGGTAATGCAGGAATAACTGGATGCCTTCCTACAGATTACTTTGAACATTTTAGTTCATTGATACCTAAGTTCTGGTTTGGCAAAGTGTATTTTAAAAACTCCTTTTTATATTCATGTAATATGTGTCTCTTGATAAAAATTTTTAAATGTGCAAGTAGATCCCTGTAAGAGATGAGTACAAATATATCTTTGTAATGGCACATGTGGCTGATAGGCAAGAATTCTTTTAGAATGAATCATCTAGGATCCTAATCTAGTGACAGCTGAATTTGTTACATGTTAACTATATCATTCTAAAAAATGTACTTTTTTCTCTAGTTATATATACATAGCTTTCAAATGTAATATACATTTCTGTTCAGTTGAATGCTTCATGTAACCATGTTACTATGTTAAGTTCATCAATATTTCACTTTTGAAATTGTTCAGTTAATGTAAATTCATGTTCATATAAATGTTTATGAAATATTTCAAAGTAACTTTGGAATCTTAAATGAAGGAAAAAGAACCTGTGTGAAGAAGTAGTAAGAACTAGAGATGATTATTTATCAAGTGTAGTAATGACCAAAAGCTCCATTGAAGAGAAGAAAAATGATTTGGATGCAGCAATGAAGATAGCAAAAGAGTTAAAATCAGCACCTTCTCTAAGAACATATTGTGACCTGAATCAGGTAATTTAACAACTCATTTATGAATTATTGTATGCTTTGGAGTAATTTAATATGTAAGAAGAATTTGTTTTTCAGATTATATTAATTTGCATTACTTTAGAATTCTTGTTTGAATTCTAAAACAAACATTAATATAATTTGTTTAGTTTTTGTTATTATTTGTCACTTAGGGAAATGGTGCATTAAGTTATTTATTACACATTATCTGGGAACAAGTGGGATACAACAACATTGAATTGAAAGTTTTTTCCTAGGACACTCGAATAAAAAAAAGAGACAAATGAGAGTAGCAAAATAAATGGGGCTCTATTTTTATGATTGTGGCTTGACTGTTAACTCTTCAAACTTCATTCAAGATCCCATTCAGGTTCTTCTCTCCCACACCCTCAGCAAACATGAAGGTCAAGGGCCTCAGTTATGGCCTATCATCTAATCATGTACCTAGGAAGAAGAGTTGGGGGAAAATAACATGTTTCTTTATCAGCTCCTTTGGAAGAGCAGAGTTAACCATAGCTTCTCTTTGCTAATTTCTGTCTTTGCTAATTTCAATTTCTCAGCGCCTCATTTCCCATAGAAGATCACATGTTTGGGCTGAACTCACATATAAAATAGAAGCCGTTTGTTTGGCTGCCTCCAAAGTCTCTAACTTTTTATTAAATGAGAAGAATGTGCCACTATCTTAACAGTTTTAAAAACGGTAGTGTTTATTTCCTGTGTACTACATATGAGGTGTTACAAGGTGAAAAAAGTGTAAGATTTGGTCTTTACCCTAGTTAGCCTCGTTAGGAAGATTAGACAGAATAGAGAGTAACATTTGAGGATGTCAATGCAGAACAGAATTAGTCTGATCAGAATTTCTCTGTTTATATAACCATGTCCCATTTATTGACTAGTGTCTTTGGTTATCTGTTAATATCTCCAAAAGATTTTACATTCCTTTAGGGGGAAACCATCATAAAATTTATTTACATCCTACATTTGAATGTCTAAAATCAAATCTTGAACACACTAGCAAGATAACAGTACAATTTTCCTTCTACAATTTTAAATTATGTTTCAGCAATATTTATAACTAGAAAATTCGTGTGAGTGATGCTTCTCTTTTGATTTAGATTATCCGGAATTTGAAATCAACATTTGAGAGTGAATTGTCGCAAGTCAGCTCTCTAAAATTAAAATGTTCTCCCAAGTAAGTAAATTATAATTCAGGAGTAAATAATAACTAAGTTTAGATTTACTAAAATAGCAGACATGTATAAGTTGAAAATTGATGGTGTCACTTATATAAGGCATATGGAAAAACCAAAGAGTCAGACAAAGTCAAACTTTAAAACCATCCTCAAAACTAACCATATATCGGGCCTCCCCTGGTGGCGCAGGCAGTTGAGCGCCATGCAATGAAGCTGTCAGCAGCCTTGCAGTGCCAGTTCGATCCTGGTCAGCCAGTGAGGGTCCCAAATGGCGTGGCAGACCTCTCCTGTCGTGCCTACTGCTCCCTTCAGCAGTGTATTTTGTCAGTCTGCCTAGTTCTGCTCCCCACTCTGTCTCTGATGAATCCTCTCACCCTTCCATGCATCTGGCCTGTACCCCAGTTCTTGAGTAAAATGAAAAAATAAATCTTTAAAAAAAAAAACTAACCATAGAGGGCGTAGGGAGGGGTGACAGTAGGGTCAGAGAAAGCACAATGGCCTGTAATGGAGGACAATGGGTGCTTCAGTGGTGGGAGTGCTGTGGTGCCTACTCCTGAGGGAGGAAATCCTATACTGTCAAAACACTAGCAAGGATGTAAAACAATGATACTTCAATAACAGTTTAAAGTTAATTATTGGTAAATATAAAAAAGGTTTTTCTCAAAATAAATGTAATTTATGATAAATTAGATAACTAGAAAATTAGAAAATTAGAATGCCTTATCTTCTTGGGTTTTTAATGTCTGCACCTTATTTAGAGAAAGTATTAAATGCATTTATTATTAAGAACATTTATATATTAGTGTTTTATTTTAGGTTGAATATGAATTGCAGTGAGATCATCTGTATGTTTAATAATATGGGAAAGATTGAATTTGAGGATTCAACAAAGTAAGTATTTACAAAAATGCAATATGCCATTAGTATCTGACAGTGCCAAAGACTGATAATTTAGTTACATTTTAAAGGGACAGAAAATTTATCTAAATGACAAAAAAATAGTATTTAGTGTAGATATGATTCAAATTATATATATATATATAAAATATATGTATTATAATATGTAGAGCAAAATAGTTTCAGTTAAATTCTATGCAAGTTAAAAGACCTAGAAGGGGTCAGTATTCAGTGATACATATGTCAAAGTTATCTTTTTGTGATTCATTCATTTAGTCAGCATTGAACTCTGATTTTGTGCTAGGCACTATCATCCTACATATTGAGATATACTTAGTAAAAGTAGAGAATGGCATATGTAAACAACAAAGTACATACTTGCTATTATGATAGTATATGCAAAATTTAATGGATTATGAAAGGAGAGAATGGTTAGTTTTTTGAGGGTAGCAGGGTACTTGAATAGAGATTTTATTTTCACTCATCCATGAAAAACAAGTAACTATTGAGGAGAGCAGAAAGGAAGTAGGCCTCTTAGCAGAAAATGTATAGACAGTAAAATAACAAGTTATGTTCAGAAATTTCTTTGCTGTAATTTCTGTACTTTTACATTTGATAGTGTAAGTCTGTGTGGATAGGTAAGAAAGAAAAGTATAATGTGAATAGTCAGATGTGGGTTAATGGCTACTGAATAATATACCCAAATGGTTCAGACTAATGGTGATTTTTTAGCCTAGGTAGATATTTCTAGTGATTGCTCGGGATTGTACCTTTTACTGTTTCCAACACTTTAATGAAAAGAAGAAATAACTGATTTAAAATCAAACACATAAACCAAACCAAATCAAAATGACTTCTTTTGATAACATGTACCCACTGTTCTTTATAATCATATCGTTGTGACATGAATGTATCAAGTTATTTCTTCAGCTGTTCATTAAGTATGCCTGGTGTAGATTTTTTTAAATTCTTGGGTTTGGGGCCTCCCCAGGTGGCGCAGCGTTTGAGCACTGGGCCGCGAAGCTGCCCGCAGCCTCTGCAGTGCCTGTTCAATCCCCGGCCGCCAGCAAGGGTCCCACATGGCGCGGCAGACCTCTTCTGCCGCGCCCACTGCTCCCCTCAGCAGTGTATTTCGTCACTCTGCCTGTTCTGTTCCCTGCTCTGGCTCTGGTGAATTCTCTCACCCACCCACGCTTCTGACTGTACCCAGTGCTTGTATAAATAAATAAATCTTTAAAAAAAAAAAAATTCTTGGGTTTGTTTGAAGCTGCAAATGGGTAAAAGTTTCTTTTTTGGGTAATAGAAATGTTCTAAAATTAAATTTTGGTGATGGTTGCACAGCTCTTTAAATTTAGTAAAAATTACTGAAATTTAATTTTATGCATCACTAAAGCTGTTTTTAATGCCCCCAAGCCACTATATAGCTTACCTGCTTTGTTTGTGTCATAGTATTAACTGTTATGTGGAAAGGAAATGACTTGAGAGTGGATATAAAAAATTTGTGAAATGATTTAAAGTAGCCACCTGCTTCTATATTTTTAAACAGATGTAATTCCCATGAAAATGAAATTGGACAGAGTGTTCAAAAGAAATATAAAAAGGAATTTTCTTGTCCTGACACCTACCCATCGCCTCAAAAGAAAAATGTTGATATGTCTGTTCTAACTGATGAAGCCCCACCAGCTCCCTTGCAACAGGAAACCAGTAATGCACATTTAGAAGCAAAAATATTCCAACCACAGAAAGAGGATGTTGTAATAACATTCCCTAAAACTGTTGCAGCTCTGCCTCAGACGGGATCTAGCCCTGATGTGATAATTGAAGAAATTATTGAAGAAAACCTGGAAAGTGAGTAAAAATACAAAAACTAGTAAATAATATATTGTAATGATATCTATATTTAGAAACGAAGTTGGTACCTTCTGTTCCTCTACTTAAGAGAAATATATTGCTGTTATAATCTCACACCTCATTCTGGGTTAACACCTGTTGATCCCATGCCCCTGATTTCACATTTTCCAAAGCTAGAATAATTTTTATTTATATTTTTGAATGCAATAATATAGCTAAACTTTGAGGTGTAAATTTAATATTTGTTTTAATTAGGGTATTTGACTTTGTAGTGTCCCACATATAATCCTTGTTTAAAAGATAAAAATATATGTCAGTTATCTGGTATTTTTCTTTTTCTTTCTGGCTTATTTTGCTGAGCATGATCCCTTCCAGCTCCATCCATGTTGCTGCAAATTGCATGAGTTTATCTTTTTGATTGCTGAGTAATATTCCATTGTGTATATGTACCACATCTCACTCATAGCAGGAATTTAGAAAACCTAAATAAGGAGCCAGGAAAAATAATAATTATAATAAAGTAAAAATCAAAATCAACAAGCAACTATAAACCAGAGACATACTGCAGGGTGGGGAGGAGGGAGTAGGATCAAAACAAGGGGTGTGGGAATTGTATGGGGACTATAACCAAGATGAAAATGCATACATTGTACAAAAATGAAAAATTATGTAAAAAATATATAAAATAAAATAATGCTCAAAAAAGTAATATATATATCTCAATTATATTTACAGAAGCAAACTTATGACTTTTTCTTTAAATTTAAGAACAGCTTCTCTTAAATCTTTCCTGTGAGATATAATCTGTTAAAATTGAACCATCATAAATAGCATTTATTTTATAACATTTAAATGATTCATGATTATTTGATTAGATTTCCAGTGTTGGTATTCTCCCCATTAACATGAGAGTAGGATACAGTGTTTAGCTAGTCACCTTTGGGACCGATTTCAAGACCTGCTTTGGTTCTCTGGCACCTCCCAATATTTGTTTCATTGGTTAACTCTCCAAAATAACATTTTTTAACTTTATTGAAGTAACAATGGTGTAGAACATGTAGGTTTCAGGCATACATCATTATGAATCAACATCTTCATATATTATGTCCCCCATTAAAGGTCCAGTGCTATCCTTCACTATACAGTGAACCCCTTTTACCTATTTTACTCGCCCCCCTTCTCTTCTAAGTAACCATTAATTTGATCTTATAGTCTAAAAGTTAATTTTTGTTTTGTTTTGTTTATACATGTGTTTAGTTTGTATGTCATATGCGTGAAATCATAGCACATTTCAGAATGACATTTTGAATACAAAAAAGGACACGTTGCTTTTTCTCGTCACTTTACCTCAATGAGTTAGTTAAACCTACTTTTTAAAAACAGTATACCATTGTCAACATAATAAAATTACTGCACTTGCCTTTATTTCCTATTTTGTGATGCATATTTCACAGATGATCTTGTGGAGACACCTAGACATTTCTCAAAAATGCCTCTTGAGAAAAAACTATCTATTCCTTTTGGATCAAAAGCAGGTATTTTAACAACTGACTGGACTTGATATACTACAGTTTATTGGTGTATTTATAGTAACTCTTATTGATCTTAAGGAAATGAATAGAATTTTACTGATAACTGAAACTTTTAATATTAAAAAGTGTTTACAATTATTGGCAAAAATATTTCTGAAGTTTATTACACTTCTCTCAGCTGTCTCCTCATTACGTATGTTTATATTATCTTTAGTGTGGGTATTCTTAGTGATCTATATTTGATAATTAAAACATTTTATCATCTATCTTTACTCTTAACATCTATCTTCTATACTTGACTGTCTCTAATTCTACTCCTCTCGTCTTTGTTGTTATATCATTTTATTAGATAAAACATCTGCACTATTCAAAAATCAATATAGACTTGTTAAAATAACCTTGTGAAACTTTTCCCCAAACCTATATTTCTTGCCATTCAGTCCCTCCCTCCATTCTATAGTTAACTTTGTACTTACACAAATACACATATATTACTTTTCTAATTCTTTGGTTTTTTACAGAAACCATAACATACCATACACATTGTTCTGATCTTTTAATTCTTAACATGATAATCTGTAGATCTATTCACACCAGTAGAAAAACGTGGCTTATTTACAATTATATACAGACCACTTCTCAATATCTTCACTCTACCCTTATCCCTACCTCACCCAGAATTCCAAATATTGTTTATAAGTAATTTCTAAAGTTTTGTTTTAATCCAGTAGTTCTAACATATATTCTGACTTTAGATTCTAACTACCACATGAACTGCAATTCCACTTTTAATATATTTTGCAAGTAAAATATTTGCAGTTCAGGTTACTAAATAATTCATTGTTGAAATTGGGATCTGTTTCTCTGTCTGGTTACTATTTGGGGTTTGAGCTCTTTCCTGGATCCTAAGCATTCTACTAGAGGATATTATGTCAGTTTTTGTGAATTCTTTCCTATTATGTGGTTTATTAATGTGATTTAAATATTCTTATGCAGGTTCTCCAGAGCTAGTTTTTGTAAGCCATGTGGTACATCCTTGTCACTTCTACATTCGAAAATATGCACAAATAAAAAATGTAACAATATTGGAAAAGAAGGTGAATCAGTTTTGCAATGAGAGTTTACACCTTGATCCTTCAGACATTTTGGAGCTAGGTAATAAAATATTACTCCAATTTAAAGTATCAAGGTTTTGCAATTATTGGATAATTTGACCAAACCACATAGACCTTTTTTAATAACAGATTCATACTGTAAGCAGAAAAGTTCTAGAATTATTTAGCATAAGTTAAATTTTATTTTGGTATGTTAACTAAATATTAAAACTGACTGTTGAGTGAAATAATACACAAAACTCCATTATGGAGTCAGGTCAGTTATTGTTTAAATTACAAAACCTGTGATGGATTTTATATATATGCCCCCTCTGCTCCAGGGTAAGCTGATCCTCTTAAGATGAGTCCTTATAGCATGACTATAGTCCCTTGATATCTACATGTAAATGTGGAGGATGTCATTAAATAGCTAAATAATGTGCAAGAGGATGATGACATCCATTTCATAGGGCCACATAGAGGGCTGCGATTGGTAAATAGTCCAATTAAATTTTATGGTTTAAAATTTGCTATAATTTACGCTTTTGTTTCAGATGTTCCTTATAACACTGTTAACTAAGTTTTTATTATACTTTGCTATAAGATAAAGCTATGACTTGTTTGACTTATATTTTTCTCATTCTGTTAGTAGCCAATCAGTGCCCATAAATAATGAATACCAAAAAGTATTAACTGTTTAGCATTAACTGTTTAGTACTTATTTGAAAGTCTAATTAACTCTCAGCTCATCTTTGTATCTTATCAGAATAACAGACATCTGTGATCATCATATATTTCTGACAAAAATGAATAATAAAACCTAAAAAAAAAAATTTCAGGTATGAGCAGCCAAGAGAAGGGAAGTGTAGTGTTAATTTTTAACTTAATTTTTATGACTACAAAATATACATGAATGCAGAAATTAATACATGCCCCAAATAAATAGTTCAGAGCATACAGATAATGTTCTAAGAAAAACCAAAAGCCATTCTTTGTTTAAAACTGTTAAGGATAATTATTTCAAAGTAAATACACATGATTATATACTAATTTCTGTTTTGAGAAATTGGTTACAAGAAATGCAATATATTAGGGCCTCCCTTGTGGCATAGGGGTTAATCTCAGCCCTATCACTGCTAGCGCCTGAGTTTGATCCAGTGGGAGCTAAACCACATATGGCGCAGCAGACCTCTCCTGTCTCACCCACTGCTTCCCTTAGCAGTGTATTTCAGTAAATCTATCTACTCTGTCTCTCCCCACTCAATCCTTTCACCCACCCCCCACATCTCTGGCCTACACCCCTGTTTCTCTATGCAAAAAATAAGTTAAAAAAAATCTTTTAAAAAATGCCATATGCTGCTTTAGGAAGGTATTCCCTTGTTCTCTTTTCCTAGTAGTGTTCTTCATAAAGAACAACAAATGGTGCTTCAAAAGGCTTTTATCTATTGTAAGAAAGAATGCTTAACAGAATTTAATTTAAAACTAGGGAATAATGATTGCATGCTTTATCGCAACAAAAGGGAAGAGTGCATAATCTGAAACTAAGCAGGTATTTTGGTTGCTTGGTTTAATTTAACGGTTTTAAATTAAATTAATTTTAAAGGTTGTCTTGCTATGCTTCTCAAGTATCCTATTTTTATTAGCATATATGGAGGTCATTTAGCAGCATCTCTCTGTGATGTATGGCTTAGTCATTGAGAACTGGACTCTAAGACAGCCTGGGTTCTCTTACCAGGTGAAGTCATCAGCCTCTTTTTGCTTAGTTTCTTTACCTATATGATGGAAGCACTGTTTCTACTGGGTTGTTTGGGAAGTTAAACGAATTCAAACATAAAACACTGAGAACATTGCTGAGCTCATAGTAAACAATTAAATTCAGACCTCTTTATTCCTTGATCTTTTGTCCTCATTAATATTATTAGATAATTAATTTTATCCCTCCTTAAGATGCCCCTCTGGGGCTAGATCCTTGGTTCATCTTCCCCCTCTCTTACCCCCAGGGTGTATTAATTTGTTATTTTGGCTTTTCGCACACTGCATTTCACTGTTTCTTTATACTCCCTCCCCTTTACCAAGAGAAAATAATTGTTCATTCCTTTATTCTACCAGCGTATGTTACAAACTTCAGTATTTGTGTATGTGTACGTGTGTGTGCATGCCTGAGGACAGAAGGCTTCAGTGTGAGTACCATACACATAGTCATGTGTTTGCCGCTCTGTCCTTTCTGAACTTCTGTATGGTAGGACAGCCTCCTTAATCTTTGTCATGGTTCATAAAACATAGGTCCTTAATAAGTGATTGCTGACTTAGTATTCTTCATCTTTCCTTCCCTATTCTAGCTCATAAGTTTCTGTATTATGACTAGAAACTGTCATAATCCACTACCTTTATCCTTCTCAAAGCACTTGACTCATTACTGTATCACCAGTAAATAAACAAATACCTTTCAGTGTGGGAACTAATTATATATTCATAAATTAGAATTTATTAGGTTTTTTTTCTATAAACATTGATAGTGATTCATCTTCCTCATTATTTAGGTGCAAGAATATTTGTCAACAGTACTGAAAATGGAATGTGGTGTCGAGGAACTATCACTGAATTAATTCCAAAAGGAAGTGAAAATACTAGAAAACTTAGTACTTCAACAAAATTCTCAGTCCGTGAAGTTGCACTAATACAAATATTCATGGTAGATTTTGGAAATTCTGAAGTCCTAATTGTCACAGGGTATATTTTATAATTATTATATGTTTCTTGCCTCTTATTTTTATTGGGGGGGGGGTGGAGACTGAAGAATAAAGGTAATTGAGAAAGGGGTAGAGCAGAAGAATTTATTGTTCTTTCTGGGCATGTATCTTTTATTTTGCTCTGTAATTTGTATAAATGCTAAATTAAAGTATTATTTATCAGAGTAACTAGATGGGGAACTTAGAAAAGGAGCTCTCTGATGTATCCAAATTTAATTATTCTTCTATGTTTCTTCAAAGCAGGGAATGATGCCCCAAAATTTCTTTTAAATAAAGTCTTACAGTTAGCTTCAGGATGATTGAGTAAAAGTTTAGTCATATTTTTGTAATTTCATTAAATACATGTTAAAGTGGCATAACTAAAAATATTCCGTGAAATGAAATAACTCCAGGTATTCAAAAATGTTCCCCCAGTCTTTAGAAAAATAAAGCAAACTAAAAATGTTTCTGTAGTAAGAACTCATATTAGCCCTTTGCAGTCTGCTGTCCCCTCTCAGGGGACATCGGAATTCTAGCATATCACTCGGATGTCTCCTCTCAGGGGACATTGCAATTTATTAGTGATTATGGGGAATTGAGTTATTTCAACGCAACTTTTTGAGACATGCATGTTTCCCTGAAGTTTTATCTTGAAATGGCACAAGAAATTAAATCAAAATATCGTAAAATTACTAAGATATATACAAGAAATGTCAGCGGGTTTTGTGTCAGACGAGAACGTGAGATGTGTGCTCACGACAGTCCGAGCACTTCGCGACGCCACTTGAAAAGAGCGATAAGGGGAGTTTGTAGAAGAAAGGTCGGTTTTCGAACATAGCGCGCACTGTATAGTGAGATATATAATTACAAATAAACAAGTCTACATCTGGAGGAAAAGATTTTCAAAGCTGAGCTCATTTTGGTTTGAAGCTTCGAGCAGTGCACATAGATCTAACAAGGAGAAAATAGGAAAAGTGATTCTTTTCTTAGTGAATAAATTGTTTGGTGAAAGCTATTTTGGTAAATATCATCTTGTCAGTTAGTAATAACAATTAGAAATTTTCAACCCATGCATTTATTCATATTTTTTATTAGAACAATGGCAAAGCACCCAACCACGAATGAGTCTCATGACACAAGTGGTAGTAAAGATGAGCTCCAGATAGACCTCTATACAGACATGTCAAACATACACTAATCAGCCTGCAATGCATATTGGGGAGTGTTACAAAACTTATCATACTGTACAAAATTATAAACAATAAAATATTGGTTTTTTTTTTGCAAATATACATTCCTCGATGTCACCCAATTCATATAAGTCCAATATCATTATAATATGTTACTTGGTTCCAAAATTATACTAAATAATATGAGAGTCTGTAAATGCACATTTCCACCGCAAAGTAGCGTCAAGTACCTGGTAGCCAATGTCCAGAATGGTTCGGAGTGCAAAGGGTTAGCTCTAGCACAGTCATTTTTTGTCCATTGCTTTATAAATAAATAGATTTCTACTTAGGTGAATTCATTATCCCCTTTAAGTTTAAAGTGAATAGGTATATGAGATAAAGGCAATTGATATTTAATTCTGTAGGTAGAAGCAGTGTCTTTGCTTATAAAATTTAGATTGCCTATGTAATAAGAAAATGTGAATTGGAATATAACTTTCTAGATGATTTAGCTTGAGACTCTCCTTAGAAATGCATACCTTTTGTAATGGGAAAGCAAGATTAGGTTTGAAACATTATTTTAATAAATATGACTTGAATTCTTCCTAGAGTTGGTGATACTCATGTGAGATCAGAACACATTGCTGAGCATCATATAGTGCTAAATGACTTATGTCTGGTTCTAAGGAAGTCTGAACCACATATTGAAGTACTCCTGAAAGACATTCAACCATTAGCACAACTCTGCTCGTTGAAAGACATTGTTCCACAGAATTCAGTAAGTGGGATTTAAGGTATTTCTTCGGGGACTAAATTTTAGTTTATTTTAGCTATGTATTTACAATCAGATTGCTGAATGTAGATTCAAAGCATTAGTTTTCTTGGAACATATATTTTATGTAATATAATGAAAAGGAAATGAATTTCAGTTTTCATATTTGGAAATTTCTTAATGGGAAATTGAGTTAAATAAGCATATATAAGGGTAATGATAGTTTAAATATCCAAGTAAACAACTAAATTTTGAAGTCAAATAAATTTGGAGAGAAATATATGGTGTGTTGGATGTTTATATGTACTTCTTCACTATTTCCATGACATTTTGTTCTTGTTACATTCTGCTTTGTACTTGCGAATATTTCTAAATATTCATAATCCTCACATTAGTATTCAAAAGTGAAATACAACTCTAAAGCTCAACAGCTTATGGACAATTTGAGACTATCTTATAAAATCAAGGTGTGATCTATGTACTCTGCATATGTGAAGACTGTCCTTGAGTTTGTGGCATCGGTTGTTTAATAGCTATGGTTGGATCAGTACTTTTGCACAAATTTTCAGACTTTGATTAGTATTGAAAAGCTAAATCTAGAGCATCATACCATTAGAGATAATTATAATTACTAAGTACACTGGAATTTTACTTTTTTCACAGAATGAAGGATGGGGAGAAGATGCTAAAGTAGAATTTTTGAAAATGGTAAATAACAAGGCTGTTTTAATGAAAGTTTTTAGAGAAGAAGATGGTGTACTTATTGTAGATCTGCAGAAACCACCAACAAATAAAATAAGCAGTGATATGCCTGTGTCTCTTAGAGATGCATTAGTTTTTATGGAACTAGCAAGGTAGGTAACTTACTAAAACTTAAATATTTCTTTAGAGTATAAAATAGTAAATTTGCCTTTAAAAACTATGGGCTCTAGAGTGAACCTCAGCATACTCTAAAAATATTGCTGGATTTTGTATGTACAATTTCTCTAAAAACTGTATGCAGATAATTTGATTTTTAAGGTAGCTAAGGTAAAAATCATTTGTAGATATTGAGCATTATTTTTAGATTCCTGTATCTTTATAAGCAGTTCTACTAAGGTTTCAAGAGTTATAATTTAGCAGTTCCTAATTTAAATTTCCTAACCTTTAGAATAAGTTCGTGATCACCACAGGTTTCTTTCCTTCTTCCCTATTTCTGAAGAACAAAGTAACATTACTAACCCAAAAATTAGAAGATACTTTCTGTCTTGAGCAATTTGATTATTCTGTAAGAGACCCAAGGAGCTTCCACTCTGGGAAAAAAAAAAGTAGAACCTGGGAGCTGGAACGGGGCTCAGAATCCCTCAGCTGACCTTACTGTACTCTCCCATAAACTTCAGCTATCTTCTCAGCTTAAAGAGTAGAAACCTTAAATCTAAGTAGAACATATAGCTCCAGCTTAACAATATCCCAACACAAATCTGAAGGTAAATTGTTGACTTTTGAGACTTGACATCTTATGTAACCTGTTTTGATAGTTGAAGGTCAAAGAATTGTTATGTAGAAGAGGGAATTTGTAATACTTCTTGAGAGATAAATCAGTATATGTTCAAGTCCTTTCTCTAAATAAAAGTCACTGAAAGAAGAAATACTTTAAGGAAATAGCTCTTATTTATTCTTTCAATTATGCTTTAATTAGGTTTAGATCACAGTCCCCAAGAAGTCACTCTGGAAAAAATACAGCTTTACACTATCATCCACCTATTTTGCCTAAAGAAATGACAGATGTCTCAGTTATGGTTTGCCACATAAATAGCCCTAGTGATTTTTATCTTCAATTGGTAAGTATATAGTGTTTCTATGAGACAAAGCATTTTTTTTTCAAATTTTAAATAGAAACATGTAACATTGAAATAAGTACCCAGTGTGAATTTTAGAGCAAACATACTGCTATCAACCTTCTATAAATGTACGTTTCTTAGTAACTGCAACTTTAAACAAGAAATTCATGTTTCAGAGTAAACTGAAAGAACTCTTCACTATGCAAGTTAATGAAGTATGGAAGGAAAGGAAAATGAAAGCTACCTAATGTTTCTTGTTTACCTTCTAAAATCTACAGGAAAGCACATAGAGCAGCAGACTAGACAAAATAGAATAATAAAACCTGTTTCTGATCCTGTACATCTGAAAATCTCCTGATTACTAGATCATTTTCTGAATCTGAATACCAAAGTCGGTTCAGATCACAAAGACTTTTCAAAATTGGAGGGTTTTAGATAGTTACTACTAATAAGAGTTCATCCTTGACTTGTGTCAGTCTTTATATGAATTAACTCACTCTAAGAACCGTAATTTTTATGTGGATTAACTCATTAATCTTCACAGCAATCCTATGAGAAAGATATTATCCTCATTCACATGCAGTCACTGTAACTACAGGCATAAAGCAAGTTGCCTGAGGTCACACAGCTGCAATGAGGAACCAGGATTAAACTGGACAGCACAGCTTCATTCAGAGCCTGTCAACTCAAATACTGCAGCACACTATACTGGCTCCCCACATGAATTGTGGAAATCTGCTTTTGGCACTAAATTAGAAGTGTCTTGTATTTATTTTATTGATTTTTTGTATTGAGAGAAAAATTTTCCCCTGTTAAGCATTAAATGTAGTTCAGTGCCATTAAGTACATTCACAGCATTGTACAACCATCACCATTTACCCATCTGCAGAACTTTTTCATCAACCCAAACAGAAGCTCTGTATCCACTGAACAGTAAGTCCCTATTTTCCTTCCCCCCAGTCTTAATAAATGCTATTCTACTTCCTTTCTCCATGTGTTGGTATGGTATTGCCATTTTCAGAGAAATGAAAAGAACTTGAAGGGATTATGTGACATTAGCTAGAAAGATGAGACAAATATTGGATGATTACACATTTATGGGTGATATAAGGAAACAATGGATTAACTGACAAAGCAAAATAAAAATAAACTAACAGATACTGATCATCTGAAGTGAATTTGCCAGAGGTTAAGAGGGTGGGAGAAAAGATTAAGGAGATTACAGAGATGATGGTGTATTAATATACATAACACAGCCACTACCAAAGCACCTGTAATATGCCACCATAATCCATTGTTCTCTTTCTCCCCATCCTGTTTTTGTCCCTTCCCCCCCACTCCAATGCCTCAGTTCTGTGGTCAGCTTTCAAGTGTTGATTTAAAAGTTTGTCATTGTCCGACCATTTGTTTGGTTTCTCTACATTCCAGTATTTATCTTCTTGGTAGCTCCAGAGTAGAAACATAGAATATTTTTCCTTTTGTAATCTGCCTTATTTCAGTTAGTATAATATTTGTAAGTTTCATCAATTTTGTAGCATGTATCAGAATTTCATTCCTTTTCATGACTGAATAACATATCATTATATGTATATACACATTTGTTTATTTACATTTTGTTGATGGACACTTCAACCTTTTGACTAGTCATTATATGAACTACTGTCATTACATGAACTCTCACTATATGAACATGGGTGTATAAGTATCTCATTGGAGCTCCACCTTCATTCAGTTCTTTTGATTACATAACTAGGAGTAAAATTGCTGGATTATATTAAAACTCTGTTTAACTATTTAAAGAACTGCTAACTTTTCCCAGAGCATCTACAACATTTTACATTTTAACAATGTGTAAAAATTCAAATTTTTCCCTGTTCTCACCAACACTTTCATTTTTTCTTTTAATATTAGCAACTTTCAAAGGGTGTGAGTGATGTCTCATTGTGGATCTGATTTGCATTTCTCTAATGGCTAGTGTTGTTGATTGCATCTTTTTATGTATATATTGACAGTTTATCTTCTTTGGGGAAATGTCTTTTCAAATCCTTTGCTCATTTTAATTGGATTATTTGTTGGATTATAGAAGTTCTTTATGTGTTAGGAATATTATTCCTTTATTGGAGCAATCATTTTCAGATATCGTCCCTCATTCAGTGGCCTGCCTTTTCACTCTCCTGATGCATTTTTTGATCTAAAAAAGTGTTTGTTTCCTTCCTTCAGTTTCAAAACTGCTGCTAATTATTACTCTCCGTGCTGAGGCTCCTTAAGGTGTCCTCCTTAATTATTTATGCTCCTTATTTATAGATGTCTTTAATTTTGAATAAAAAACAAACTTATGTAAAAAAAAAAAAACAAAAGAATACCTACCACCATCCCTTTAATTTCCTTAACCTTTTCTCCCACCTGATTAACCTGTGGTAACTTCACTTCAGTTATCAGTGTCCACTAGTTTATTTTTTTTTTAGTTTTATTTATTATTATTTTAATGTTTTTAATTTTATATATTTACATCATTTTTCATTTTTTGCACAATGTATGCATTATTATCTTGGTTATATTCCCCATACAATTCCCACCCCCCTTATATTTTTTTTAATATTTTAATAATTCTTACATCATTTTACATTTTTGTACAATGTATGCATTTTCACCTTGGTTATATTCCCAATCCAATTGCACCCCCCTTATTTTGACCCTAATCCTTCTCCCCACCCCTCACAGCCCCATATTGTGAGTCTGGTTTATAGTTGCTTGTTGATTTTGATTTTTACTTTGAATTAGTCTTTTTTTCCTGGTCCCTTATTAAGGTTTTTGAAATTCTTGCTGTGAGTGAGATCATCCAGTATTTTTCTTTTTCTTTCTTATTTCGCTGAGCATGATCCCTTCTAGTTCCATCCATGTTGCTGCAAACTGCATGTGTTTATCTTTTTGGATTGGTGAGTAATATTCCATTGTGTATATGTACCACATCTTCTTGATCCAGTCATCTATTTTTGGACATGTAGGTTGTTTCCATAGCGTAGCTATTGTAAATAGTGCTGCTATAAACACAGGGGTGCAGGTGCCCTTTGGTATTAATGTTTCTGTGTCCTTTGGGTGAATACCTAGGAGTGGAATTGCTGGATCATATGGAAGCTCTATCTTTAGAAGGTCAAGAAATCTCCACACAGCTCTCCATAGTGGTTGACCAGTTTGTACTCCCACCAGCAGTGCAGGAGAGTTCCTTTTTCTCCACAACCTCACCAACATTTGTTGTTGCTAGCTTTTTAATATGTGCCATTCTCACTGGTGTAAGATGGTTTCTCATTGTAGTTTTGATGCATTTCATGATTGCAAGTGATGTTGAACCTTTTTTCATATGCCTGTTGGCCATTTGCATTTCCTCTTCAGAGAAGTTTCTTTTTAGCTCTTCTGCCCATTTTTTGACTAGATTATTTTCTTTGTTTTTGTTGAGTCTCATCAGTTCTTTGTAGATTTTTGCGATCAGTCCTTTTTCATTAGTGTTGTGAGCAAAAATTTTCTTCCAGTTGGTGAGGTTTCTCTTTCTTTTGGTTATTGTCTCTTTTGCTGTGCAGAAGCTCTTTAATTTGATGTAGTCCCAGCTGTTTATCTTTGCCTTCACTATCACTGCTTTGGGTGATGTGTCTGTAAAGATGTCTTTTAAGTGCATGTCATGTATTGTTTCACCTATATTTCCTTCTATATATTTTATGGTTTCAGGTCTTATGTCTAGTTCTTTAATCCATTTTGAGTTGGTTTTTGCACATGGTGTGAGGTAGTGGTCAAGCTTCATTCTCTTGCATGTGGTGACCCAGTTTTCCGAGCACCATTTATTGAACAAGCCTTCTTTGCTCCAGTGCATATTCTTTGCTCCTTTGTCAAAGTTTAGTTGACCATAAATCTGTGTGTTTATTTCTAGATTTTCTGTTTGGTTCCATTGGTCTGTGTGTCTGTTGTTATTCCAATACCATGCAGTTTTGATTATTGTGGCTTTGTAGTATAGTTTAAAATCTGGGAGTGTGATGCCTCCATTCTCCTCTTTTTTTTTTTTTTTCAGTAGAGCTTTGGCTATTTGGGGTTTTTGGTGATTCCATATGAATTTCATCAATAATTGTTCTATTTCTTTGAAGAATGACATTGAACTTTTTATTGGAATAGCATTGAATCTGTAAATTGCTTTTGGAAGGATGGCCATTTTGATTCTTCCAATCCATGAGCAGGGGATATCTCTCCATTTCTTTGTGTCTTCTATTTCTTTTAATGGTGTTTTATAATTTTCTTTGTATAGGTCCTTTACCTCTTTTGTTAGGTTTATTCCCAAGTATTTGATTTTTTTTTGTTTCAATAATAAAAGGGATTTTCTTTTTTAATATCTTCTTTAGATTGACTGATTGTGTATAGGAAGGCTACTGATTTTTGCATGTTGATTTTGTATCCTGCCACTTCACTAAACTGATTAATTAGTTTTTCTGTGGATTTTTTGGGGTTCTCTATATATATTATCATGTCATCTGCAAATAGTGATATGTCTTGTATGTCTTTCTCTTGTCTTATTGCTCTGGCTAGGACTTCCAGTATTATATTGAAAAGCAGTGGTGAGAGTGGACATCCTTGTCTTGTTCTAGATCTTAATGGAAATGCTTTCAGCTTTTCACCATTGAAAATGATACTGGCTATGGGCTTGTCATATATGGCCTTTATGATGTTGAGGTATGTTCCTTGTATGCCGAGAATTTCAAGGACCTTTATCATAAATGGGTATTATACTTTGTCGAAAGCTCTCTCAGTATCTATTGATATTATCATATGGTTTTTATATTTCTTTTTGTTGATGTGTTGAATTATATGGATTGAGTTTCAGATGTTGAACCATCCTTGTATCCCTGGAATGAATCCTACTTGGTCGTGGTGAATTATCTTAAGGATACATTGTTGGATCCTGATAGCTAAAATTTTATTGAGGATTTTTGCATCTGTTTTCATTAGAGAGATTGGCCTGT